GATATCGTCCTCTTTTGGAAGGCCAAACAAAGTATTTTCGCTTTCGCAACGAAACACTCAGCATCTTCACAACATGGCGGCGGCGGTGTCAGCAACAATAAAGTTACGCCTTCTTTCTTTGTGTGAACATTTGGGCGGCGTTATGCAAATCTTCCCACATTGTGACTTAGACATGTGGGGGCGTGTTTGAACGAGGTGTTTTAGGTAGGCGTGGACGAGTCAACTTTTATAAAGACTATCTCTTTGGGTTTGAGACTTTAGTCTTTGCAACTTTAGGGATCTTATCTATTCACGAACAGCTTGTAACACTCCAAAGAGAAAGGAAAACTTGAAATTGCATCATATGACCCCTTTAAAACACCTTGGGTTAGTTCACCCAAAAATGAAAATTCTGTCATTTACTCACCCTCAAGTTGTTCCAAACCTGTATGTGTTTCATTATTCTGTTGAACACACAAGAACATATTTTATAGAATGTTGGTAACCAAACAGTTGCTGGTAGCCATTGACTTCCATAGTGTGGAAAAAAATTACTATAAATCAATATAAGTCAATGGCTACCACTAACTATTTGAACATTCTTCAGAATATCATATTTTGTGTTCAACAGAAGAAAGAAATTCATAGAGGTTTGGAACAACTTGATGATGAGTAAATGATTACAAAATGTTTTTCATTTTTGGGTGAACCTGTCCCTTTAATGATGGATTAGTTTTTTTTTACAAACTCACAGCTTTTCACTTCACAAGACATCAATTGATGGACTAGAGTTGTGTGGATTACTTGTGGATTATTGTGATGTTTTTATCAGCAGTTTGGACTCCCATTCTGACGGCACCCATTCACTGCAGAGGATCCATTGCTGAAAGTGATGTAATGCTACATTTCTCCAAATCTGTTCCGATGAAGAAACAAACTCACCTATATTTTAGATGGCCTGAGGCTGAGTAAATTTTCAGCAAATTTTCATTTTTGGGTGAACTATTCCTTTAAGCCGTTTTCAGTTTACTGGTAATGGTTAAACATATTGTATTTTTTGTTATGGTTGTGTTGTGTGCTGTAGTTTTGGCAGTAGATACATGAAGTAGTTTCTCTTGTTGTCATTGTGATATTTGGCTCATGTGTTCCTCTGCAGCATAATGCAGGCCCGCTGAGACATCTGCTGTCAGAGATCTGTGTTCCAAAAACGTCCTGAACTAACTGTACGCTTTTCTCAAGCAAAGACACTTGCTCTAGAGAATCTTCTGCGTAACTCGAGTACAGGCTGTTTAGTCTGCATGCGCCGCACAGGCTTTATTAGCTACATCCTGTCACATTACAAACACGGGGATGAGAGATAAGCAGGCGAGTTTTAACTCTTAATTCTCTGTCCACTAAGTGAAAAGTACCATGGTATTACCATGTTTTGTTTAGATGTGGTCCATTGTTTTTTGGACTTTTACCATATTATTCTTGGAAGTAGGCTACATTTTCTTTGTTCTTGTTATGTTTGAAAAAAGTCATTTAGTCAAATATAACATATTTTGTACAGGAAACGCTGTTTCGCTGCTGTTCCATAAGTGCCACCTACTGTCAGAAAGTGAATTTGCGTTCTCATGCAGCCCGCCTGCTGTTTTTGTTTCGTGCAGATGTTTTATGCAACATAATTTAACAAAATGGAAGTCAGACCATTCTGTTTTTGCTTCAAATTTCAAAATTATACAATCTAATTTAAAATAAAAAAAACTGCTCATGCTGCATGTATGCGGCATCTTTGTTTGGATTGGGATTAAAATGCAGTGGTTACTTCTAATTTTAAATGGAAAGAGCACGGACAAAGCCTTAGTTTGAGATTTAAGAGAGATTTCTTTCATTTGTATTTATATATTTATTTATTATTCAGTTTAGTTTTGTTATTTGACATAGGCCTGTTTCAATTTCTCAAAGAAATGTGAAGCATTTTGTCTGAGAAATAATAAAAGGACACCTTTTCATTTATAATTATTAGTCTTTTGTTCAAAAAATTGTGAGAAAATCATATCGTGAAGTTGAGTGAATTGTTATATCCCTACACACGCTAAGAACGTTTACGTTTTTTTTATAATTGTTCACCAAGGCTGCATTTATTTGATCCAAAATTACAGTAAAACAGTATTGTGATGTAATATTAGAATTTAAAATAACTTTTTAACATAATTTTAAATAATTAATTTTTTATTTGTGTATTTTTGGAATGGTACAGCTGAATTTTCAGCAGTCATTATTCCAGTCCTCAGTGTTACATGGTCCTTAAAATCATTCTAATATGATTAAGTGCTGAAGAAACATTTTCTTTTTATTATTATTATTAGTTGATAATGGTTGTGCTGAAAAATGTGGAAAGTATCTTTTTCAGGATTCTTGGATGAATAGAAAGTTCAAAAGAACAGCATTTATTTGAAATTGAAGTCTTTTGTAACATTATAAATTTCTTTACCATCACTTTTGAACAATTTAATGCATAAATAATATCATAGCAACCCCATACTTTTGTATGGTAGTGTTTCTTAAAATACCACACAAATATCATGTCGCATTAATTTTAGTATCATGCCACATTGCAGTGAACACTAGTGATTGTTTGATGGTCCTAACAATTGCAGTCAAAACGTCTGTGGTAGAAAATAGGAAGTGGTTTTGGACAAGACAATTATGTTGAAATATTTTGTAACTTGAGATGCTAAATTATGTTTTGCAGTTCACTGTTGTGGCTCCTTATGTCAGTGCAGCAGGGTGTTATGTCTACACGTAACCTCTGGATTGAGGCTTTTTGTTTTGATGAGCAAACGCTTTAGGATTTCCTGGCTCTTTGTGTGCTGCATGGCCACAATAGACCTTCCCATAAACTGTGTTAACCCTTAGCTTTTACCGTTTGTCCTTGACACTGTTTATAAAGAAACAAGATATAGTAAGCACTACAGTACTGTTTTGTCTTTACAATCACTAAATTGAGCAAAAACATACACCGTGTATGCAAGCACTTTTACTTATTTTTTGTTGCAAATTTACTTTGGTCAGTACATACCTTGATATATGGTTGTAAATGCTCATCATTCAGTATAATGATATTCATCACTGTACCATAGTACCACTATAGTACATTTTGTAAGGTTTGGGGACTGTATGTATTTCTCTCACACTGTTAGTTGTTTAATTTCTCTCGGTCGTAGTTATTAAACATTAGTTTTGAACTCACTGTTTGTAGTTGCAATCTCCGGTTCAAAATGTAAAATGTATTATAAATGCAAACTCAAAGAATTATGCTTTAGCAAGTGAGTTGGATAATCAAATGTAAATTGCTAATTTTATTTTCTGTCTTTTGTGCTCTTGTAGAACTAAAATGTGTCATTTCTGCAACATTAGTGTCATCAAATGGAATTGCAAAAACGATGAGTATTTTCAAATTGGTTTTCCAAACACTGCCATTGGTCAGGCAAACTCTTAACCCCGCCCCCAAACTCATACCATTGGCGGAGCATTGTTTTGTGCCACAAAACCATAGTTTTTAGACTTCTTGGGAAAATCCGAATATTATGGGAAATATTGTAATGTATAGTATTAGATATAAAAATATATTGATATTATTAATAAATTGTATTCATGATATAATATAATGTATAATATAATTCATTATTATATTAAATTGTGAAATATACAAATATTATATATAATATTATCTTTATGCAAATATCTACCAAACCATTATTGCTTGATTCTTATTTATGAATATATTTTCTGTTTAATACTAAAGAGTTTTGTGGAGTGTTATTTGATTGCACAATAATAATAATAATAATGTTATTTATACATTTATTATTAATAATATTAATATAATATATCATTAATAATGAAATATTCAGTTATGTAATATTAGAATATAATATTATTTTTATGCAAAGGTCTACCAAACCATTATTGCTGGGTTCATTATTGTTGTTATTATTATTATTAACAGCTGTTTACTGAAAGAGTAACACAAATACTCATTTATCTTCTCCTGCAGGTAAATCACACTTGGCGATTGTTCAGAAAGTTAATAATGAGGGAGAGGGAGATCCGTTCTATGAGGTGCTGGGATTGGTCACTCTGGAAGATGTCATAGAGGAGATCATCAAATCAGAAATCCTGGACGAGTCTGACCTCTACAGTGAGTGGAATGTGTCTTTTGTGTTGTTTGTGTGTCTTGTAATGCAGACAGCATTACAGCTGTCATCTTTTAAATAAATCCACACAGCACTCGAACAGCAAAAAATTCTCCAGAATGCACACTTTTGACTTCCTCTTGCTGTCCTGCATCATAAATCTTTTCACATATGGTTTCACGCAAACACGCTGCTTGCGAAATCACAGACACATGCATTTTTTTGAGAAAAGCACTATCATCATGTTCATGATGTTAGAGTTTTCATGGTACTACCAGTGTGAATATTTTGATGGAATGAAAACTTTTATGTAAAATCCTCTGTGTTTTGCTCCAGTTCTGCACATCGCAATTTCTTATGAATGAGTCTTTTGTGCATTTCTTTGCAGCTGATAACCGTACCAGAAAGAAAGTGGCACACAATAAGAACAAGCGAGACTTCTCTGCCTTCAAATATGAGAGTGAGTCGAAAGTCAAGATCTCTCCTCAGCTGCTGCTCGCCGCTCACCGCTTCCTTGCAACAGGTAAACAGACTCACTGTGGAGACTCACGTGTCCACTGAACAGAAAATATCCACTCAATGCTGCTCAAAACACCAAAAGTGTCCTAAAAAATCTGCTTCAAATGTGTCATTTCAATCAAGTCATCAATGCAAATTCTCTTTACAAAGGCATATCAGTTTAATACACTTACATTTACCCGATCCTAGCCTAGAGACCCATTGAAAGCATGCAAACTGTATTTAATATGAAACAAATCAGAGTCCATCAGAAATTCCAGCGCTATTGACACATTTTGAACCTGTTTTTTGATCCTTTTATTTGCATAAACTTCAGGTTTTCTTAATCTTTTGATGCTATCACCACTTTAAAATAAGGTTCAGCTTTAGTTAATGCATTATGCTTCATGAACATCATTTTTACAGCATTTATTACATCAGGTTAATGTTTAATTTTTAAATATGCTAATGGCAATGCTATTTGTTAATTCATGTGCAAAATACATAAACTCACGTTAATTGTACAACTTGAAATGTTAAACATGCGTTAGTATATGTAGAAATTAACTAACTTAGGACATTAAACATCTTATGGTTTTTATGTTTAGCCTGTTTTTTTGCCATGAAAATAGCCTTGAATGCTGGCATTGTGTTCAAACAAACAAACAAACTTATCATTGAATAATATAACAAATTAAGCAAACTAACATATTTAATTTCATTGTAAAGTGCTACCGGTTTGTCAAAAATAAAGATGATATGCATTTCAAATGTGCTTTAATTGTAACGTCTTGTCTGTTTCTGTCTCTGCCTGTGTCTTCACAGAGGTTAATTTGTTCAGTCCGTCTCAGATCTCAGAGAAAATCCTTCTGCGTATCCTTAAACACCCTGATGTGATCCAGGAGATCAAATTCAATGAGAGTGATAAGAGATCGGCGCACCACTACCTTTACCTGCGCGGCAAACCCGTGGACTTCTTCATCCTCATACTGCAGGTAACGGCACAAACTGATGCCAATTACCTGATCCTTAGCAGGGTTACGGCTTGGAGGGCTTTTAAAGCCAATTAGCCAGACAAGGTGTTTTAAGCAGGTTAAGCCAACAGGCTTAAGCTCTCAGCGTGAGCGTGTGCTTGACATTACCTTCTGTTGCCGCATGCTAAAACCAAGCAGTAACCTTCCGGTCTCTCTCGTGAAACCAACACGGAAGTGACTAAAACTGCAATTCATCGACTGGCCGCTAGAGGCTGGCTCCAAAAGGGAGTCAGTCCCATAGACTCCCCATGTTAAAATGCCCAACTTTACAGCAGAAAAAAATATGTTTACAGCCTGGTACAAAAAGTGGTTTTGGTCTATATAGCTAATTTTGTCCTTCATGACAACTGTGAGGGGGGTGAATTTTTTTATAACTCATCTGTTTAAATTATATTAAGCCTTAAAGTTCTGCATAATTAAGGGCGTGGCCACTTGAGTGACAGGTGGATTGCCGCTGCTGTCACCACCGTCGAGCTAGGTGGGCGTGGTTTCAGCAACCAGCTCCCGCCTCTTTGCCCATTTTCGATTATCCGGAAGTGACGTGCGATGACTCACTGCCAAGATGGCGACGGCCGGCTCCGCCTACTTTAGGCTTCAAAAACGCTCTTACGCACCTACGGGTGATGTCACAGACACTACGTCCATGTTTTTATACAGTCTATGGCTAAAACTGAGGAGTATAAATGAGACTTCCTGTCTCACATCATGGCTATATGGTGATGTTTGGGAACATCTAAATGTCTGTAATCTCTCCAGTCCATATGTTTTGACTAAACACGGAAGTGACTAAGGTTTGTTAAAAAATTATTTCAGAGGACCTTAGACCGATGCTTTGAGATATAAACTACCTTTCAAAAGTTTTGGATTGGTAAGATGTTTTTGGAAAGAAGTCTCTTATGCTCACCAATGCATTGATTTGGTCAAAAAAAACAGTAAATATTGTGAAATATTATTATAATTTAAAATGATTTTTTATTTGAATATATTTTAAAACGCAATTTATTCCTGTCACGGGAAGCTGAATTTTCAGCATCAATACACCAGTCTTCAGTGTCACATGATCCTGATTTGGTGCACAAGAAACATTTCTTATTATTATCAATGTGGAAAACAGTTGTGATGCTTAATATTTTTGTGGAAAGAAAAATCAGGATTCTTTGATGAATAGGAAGAAAAACTTTTTAGATGAGAAAAAAAGAACCACTGTTGTCTAACTTCCGCAGCAGTGGAGCTGTGTTGCTGATGTGCAGGTCTGTGCAGGTCTGAAACCGCTCTGTGGTTTGTCCCAACTTCATTCCCCCTCAAGATAACAGAAGATAAAAGATCAAAGTTGAAGATTCAAGAAACTTAAATTTACCAGTGAAAGTTACATCAGAAAGAATTCAAAACACAGAGAAACTGCAGTAAAGAAAAAAAGCTCTCAAGAAACGCATCCCAAAAATAAGTCTGAACTGCAATAAAGAAATTGGGCCAAAATACCTTGTAACTGTTGCACAACTGCAGTAAAGTAGCAATAAAAAGCATGTGATGGAAGTTTTTGCCAATAAGGCAGGTTTAATGAAATATATGTCTGCAAACGCTTTCCCATCCATTAGCTTAGCATTTGTTTAAGATATGCCACTGTGTTAAATTATCACCTGGATTAAGCTCATCTCACATTTTGGGGGCTTTTAACATGCAGAAATCCATATGATTTTTTTTTTAAGAGTAGACATTTAGTTGTACTTTTTCCCACAGTGGTACCATCATCCATCACTTATTCCTTCATTCATTCTCTGAGTCTCACTCTTGGGTTTGTTGTTGTTATTATTGGCTTCTAAACAATCATTAGACCATTCAGCCGATGCTGGTTAAACATCACATGCCCACCTCAGCCATTCAGTGATTCAGTGAATTACAGACCCCACACATTGTTTCTTGTACAATGGGTGTTTAAAGCCATGATAATCCTAAAAAAAAAAACGAGGGAAACCACATAATAGCAGAAAAATCAGGGTTTCTGCAGATTTTATGAAGGTAAATTTTATCAGCATACTGACCTTTGGATTTACTGACCATCAAGTTGTTTCAAACCTGTATGGATTTTTTTTTTCTTCTGTTGAATGCAAAGAAGATGTTTTGAAGAATGTAGGTAACCAAACATTTGCTGGTAGTGTGGAAAAAAACCTATGGAAGTCAATGGCTACCAGCAGCTGTCTGGTTACCAAGTATCTTCTTTTGCATTCAACAGAAGAAAAAAATTCATACATGTTTGGAACAACATGAGGGGAGTAAATGATGACAGAATTTTCATTTTTGGGTGACCCTTTTAATTTCAGTTAAAGAAAATGTAGATAATAAATTAAAGGTGCTGTAAATGAAACTGTACACGACAATGTATACATTGAGTTGTATTAGCAACAAGTTTATTATTATTATTATTATTATATTATTATTATTATTATTTTAGTATCATTGAGGTTCGATTTTAGTTTTCATTAAGATTTTGAATTAGTTTTTATTTTTATATTATCTGTTTTCATTTAATTTGAGTTCAAATATACATAATTTTGTTGTGTGTTTTTGACTGTTTGATTAGTTTTATTTTTATTTTTTAAATAGGTATATATAGTTTTTATTAATTTTTATTTCAGTTAAAGTTTTAGTCATTTTAGTACATCGTTAAACTAAATGTAAATGAGAAATATTGGCGACTAGCTGAAATAAGTAATTTTTTTTATGTTTTCATTTTATTTCAGTTAAAGTTTATTTATTTCAATTAACACATTTTTTTAAGCTTTAGTTTTCAGTTTCTAAGAAAACAAATCTTAATATCTTCATTTTGCCTCTGAAGTAAATATATCTTGATTTAAGGATGTTTAGATATTATATTTTTGCAGTGCAAGCAACACTTAATGCCATGACTTTATGAATTTAAGACTTGAATTTCAGACCTTTTTAAGGCCTTAATTTCTGGAACGGGTGATAAAGACTATTTAAGACCCACAGAAAAAATATATATAGACACATTTTAAACTTGTGTAGTTTGTGGCTCTTATGTAAACTTCACGACACTGATCTTTGTTCCTTGAACTGTCATGGATTTAACTTGTCAAGTTCAAGCACTCAGGTTAAAATGTCTGAAGTCAGTTCACCGGTGTAGATTATTCACAGTGAGAAGAAGATTCATTAATAGGTTATGAAGTGCACACTAGCAGCAGTTTGAGGCTGTTAAATATGTCGTGCAGCTGTTGGTGTGGCTTTTGTTATTTATTATTTAAAGCGGCTCAATGATGTGTTTGTGGAAGCAGGATATGCTGTATCATTATGATTATTATTTAATACATTGAGTGCGCTTGCAAGTTGACTTCCCAACATGGAGACCTTTCTTTCCTGGCACCGGTTGAAGACGGCCTCAAGCTGAGAGCGGCCGAGTGACCTTCATCAAAGATTAATGCTGCTTTCTCTGAGGTGTCAGGCTTTGTGCTAAAGATCCACAGCACTCTTCTGCTGCACTCCTGTGCATATGTGCTAAAATGACTTGGAGTTTGTGAGAAAAACAGTGTATGTAGATTTTCTATATATAGAGGTTGCACTTGAAGGAAAAACAAAGTTTTAGAACAATCAAAAAAACAAAACCAAGCCTTACATCAAGAAAAATAAATAAAGGCATTAAAGGGTTAGTTCACCCAAAAATTAAAATTAGGCTGCGTTTTACTCACCCCCAAGGCATCCTAGGTGTAGGGCATGACGTATGAGGTCAGCGTTGCGCATGCGCCGGTGAGTCTCGTGAAAACCAACGTTTGTTTACAGGATCAAAGGAAGCAAAGTTTCCTTACTTTAGCAAAGGAAAACCAGTCTCCTCTTGGCTTATATCGAAATCCTCTGACATTCTTCTTTACAAATCCTCGTTTTGTACTTCTAATTCTTGACCGTTGTTTTGTTTTGATCTCTCCCCTGCGCTTCCGCGTGCATCACTTCTGCGCAAAGCCGACCTCATACGTCATCCGCCCGGAACTGCTTCAGTTTACAACAGTGAGCGCAAGCTAGATTCAAGTTATTTTTACCATTTTAAATATTAAGAATAGCCTCGGGGGTGAGTAAAATGCAGCCTAATTTTCATTTTTGGGTGAACTAACCCTTTAAGACTATAAAGCAAAAGATGATAGACAAGTGAAGAATGAAAAAGACAAGATAGAATTTTTATTGTTTTAAATTTAGCTTTTTTTTTTAAGGACAAACTAACAAATAAAGACAAAACAAACATTTATGTATATTCATATAATTTTGATTTTATACTTATTTTATTTTTATTTTACTTTCTTTTACAAAAAATATTTTCTAAAACCTAAATTTAAGGCAACACAAAATAAGAAAATAGTTAGTTTCATCAAATCATTTGCAAACATAAAAATAAGATAAACCTTTTGATGTTTATTTTGAGTTGTCTTAAAATTAGGTTTTAGATATTCATGATAAATATAGCTTTTAGATTGTTTTTCAAAAAATCTACACGATTAGTTTTTTCTCATAAAAAACGGTTTAATTCAAAATAAAGTATAAGTTTAGTTTTAATTGTTTTTTTTTATTTTCAAGAGTATTTTATTTCTTGCAAAATATAAAACACTAATTGAAGATAAACATAAACTTTAGCTTTGAGATTTTGTTTTTCAAAAAAATCTGCAAGATTTTTTTTCTCTCTCTCAAAATCTGATAAAAAATAAATAAATTGAGACACAATTACATTTTGTTTATTAGAGAACATGACTAGTCAGTGAGGTCCACAACTGGAGTTTTAGCTTTAATTTTTTTAGCAGCAGTGCTTTGAAGATGAATTTGGAAAGTTTTAGATTATTTACTGTTGGGCTTCAAATCAGCTGCTGTGATTTACACACTTGGTATTATTTGTAAATCGTAGGTCTCCTTTTTTTTATTGCGCACTGGACATAATTTTATGCAATAAAAACATATAGATATTTGGCCTATTTATTTGTTAAATATCTGTTAGTCACTGTACTGAAGGTTTGTGCTTTCTTATCACCATATATCCCAAAAGAAACGCGTTTGGTGGAGTGGCCAACATAATTATACAGGACGTCTTCAAGAGCGACTAATCGTTCGGACAAACCACTGTCTAACTGATTTTGGAAATATGTAGTTTTGCACATCCCTATTTAACTCAGCTTTGTGAAGGAGAGAATTATAGCAATGCAGGAAGAGAGGCTGTGATTGTCTCTTCTGTACACAAATACTTGAAGAAGTTTACTTGTCCTCACTGCACATGAGCACTGTTGTTAGTTACTCAAACAAAGACCTGTTAAACATACTCATAGCAATTTTACAGTGTGTGTTTGGCCACCCACGTTTTGTGTTTGTGAATGATTGACAGTGCTGAAGCTGAGGAGAGGTTACTGAGTGATGCAACTTCACGAGGCCTTCTGCACGTACACACACATATAAACAAACATTATCTCTTCTCAACACCTCCATTATTTATACAACCCATCTGCAGGCATTGCAAGATCACTGTGCAATACCATGCATATATGAGACAAATTGGCCTGACAAAACTTTTGGGATGTCCATGAAGTAGCATGCGAAGGTTTGGGAACCCCTTGCTGAATATGTGAATAATTTTAACAAAATAAGCGAGATCATACAAAATGCATGTTATTTTTTATTTAGTACTGTCCTAAGTAAGATATTTTACATAAAAGTAGCTGAAATTATTAAAATAACCCCATTCAAAAGTTTGGGAACCCTTATTATTAAAATTTAAAAAATATTAGTATTATGGTATTGTGATTTTTATTATTACTTATTACAAAAATTTGCTTTACCTAAAAACTAAAGAAATTAAAATGCAAGAATTGGCTTCAGTAAAAACAATAGAAGTTGATGTTTTTGTATTATTATTATCATCATTATCTTCAAATTATTATTATTATTATTATTATTTAAAATGCAAAACCTGGCTTTATGTAAATACAGTAGAAGACAATGTTTTATATTTTTATTATTTTTTATTAAAATAAAAAAATTGGCTTTATTTAAAAACACAAGAAATCAATGTTTTATTATTATTATTATGCCAAAATTGAAGTTAGAAGTCAATTATTTTATTATTATGATTATTATTGTTACTGTTATTATTTATTATAATGCAAATAATTGGCTTTATTTGAAAATTTGAATTCTTTAGTCCTCATTTAGCTAAATGTGTGTTTACGCATATTTGTAAGAACTAGGTATGCAAGATTGTTTGTTGTTGACATCTTAAGGTGGGAAATGCTGTCTTAAGTGTGTTTATAATTGACAAATGTGAACTTTTCCCTTTGCCAGCACACACATACACACTCTGCCCCCCTCGCAGCCATGGATTTGTATATTAAGTGGCACAAGGACGGTCAGGATGGTCTATTTAAAGATCTCTTTTCTGTGTTTCTTATGTTTGTGTGTGTGTGTGTATGCTTTTTGTCCTGGAGGTCTTTCTCGGTAAGGTCAGTTCATATATTTGTAAAACGTTGTTGATCTGATCTTTCCAGAAAAACAGGATTCATGCAGCCGTTGCAGTCCCCTCCCTGCAAACAGTCTCACTGCATTGATTCTTGCAAAGGCAACTGTCTGTGTGTGTGTATCAACAATGTGATCATGCTGCATTGTGCACCTCATTGTGTGGACATCAGTCACTCGGTGGTATTCGGCCCCCTCTCTTAGAGCTTATGTGTGCGTGTGTAAGCGTCATTATTGTCTCAGTGGATTTACTGTGCTACAGTTCTCACATTCCTCTTGACCAGAGCTCACATTTACACACTCCTATCGCTTTAATTCACCCAGAGCCTTCTCGGTCTATTTGACTGCTAGTCTTTTGCCTTTGTTCACTTATGTGTCTGTTCACCTTCCAGAAAAAAAATTACTCTAATTTTCCTTGTGTCTGGGAAACTAGTCGTGTGGAATGTTCACCATTCAGATTGGCAAAGGCTTATGGCTCTGTCTCCAATTAATTTAAAGGATTAGTCCACCCGAAAATTAGAATTTGGCATCATTTATTTAAACTCAAACCCTATTTTCATGAAAAACAAAAAGGGAGATGTTTTGAAGAACGTTCCAGCTGATTATTTCTATACAGTGAAAGCATACAGTGGCAAAGAAGTGTCAATTGTCAATCGAACTGAATAGTGAACTAAATTTGACTGTTTCTTACATTAAGCCATCATGTGGCTTCAGAAGACGGATGTATTACTTCTTTAAAGTTCTTTGATTTTCATAATTTTTGGAGCTTGTCAGCCACAATCATTATTATTGAGATAAGCACTGAACTTTCGGCAGAATTCCTTCTTTTATGTTTCTTTAAAGAAATAAAATGTCATATGTGTTTGGAAAAATATGAGTAAATCATGACAGTTTTCTTACTGATCAGATTTTCATGTACAATATTGTCTAAAGTTTGGGGTCAGTGTTCGCTTTTTTTAAAGAAATTGCAAGGATTTTTTTAAAGCAAGGATGCATTAAAAGTGACAGTAAAGACATTTTATGATGTTACAAAAGATTTTGATTTTAAATAAATGCTGTTGTTTTAAACTTTATTAATCACAGAAACCTGAAAAAAAAAAAGTATTATCCTATGGTTTCCACAAAAATATTAGACAGCACAACTGTTTTCAACATTGATAATAATCAGAAATATTCATGTGCACCAAATCAGCATATTAGAATGATTTCTGAAGGATCAGGTGACACTGAAAAATACATTTTAAAATTGTGTTCATTTTAATTTTACAATATGTGACCCTGGACCACAAAACCAGTCTTAAGTCGCTGGGGTATATTTGTAGCAATAGCCAAAAATACATTTCAAATAGAAAACAGTTATTTTGAGCATAAGAGACTTCATAAAAAAAAAAAAAAGCAATTCCAAACTTTATTTTTTGGGGGCTGTGGTTGTTTGTTAAAAGCCACCCAGAATAATCTTGCTGCTTTGTACACAGGGCCGTGTGGAGGTGGAGGCTGGGAATGAGAATATGAAGTTTGAGACCGGACCTTTCTCTTTCTATGGAGTCAGGGCTCTCGGCGGTTCAACACTAGGTGAGACAAACACACACAAAATACAACATACAAATACTCATTTCATCCTGCTTGATTCAAAAACTTCAAAATGGGATTCTATATGAAAGTCTAATACACATGCACGTACATATACATCATCAAACTTTATTAAGGTAAGTCTCTGCATGCTGCTCTTTCTGTAATGCCGCCACAGATGGCCAGTATACATAGGGGTACAGTATGCTTTAAAAAGTGTTGTCTTCACAGATCCTGAGCACATGCCAAATTTGCGAATCAACATATTGGCCTGGGCATACAGCGTACAACACTGTCTGTAAATATCCCTATCATCAGACAGGTCATCAGTTATATAATGCCCTAAGTATTTAACCTCATTACATACCTTAAGGACACTCCCAGACAGAGAGACGTCAGGAAATGTCAGTTTCCTATCCCCCCTACTCCTAACAATCATAATATTACTCTTTTTGGCATTATATTTAATATCAAAATCTGAACCATATCGAGAACAAATCCTCAGTAACTGTTGAAGACCAGCACTATATGGACAAAAAATCACCAAATCATGACCAACCATCAAATGGTTTATAATAGTATGACCAAATAATAAAATTAAAAATAATAAACCTAATGGTAAAAATAACCTAAAACATTAAAAGGAAAAATTTGAAAGGAATAATTGCTCAAGAAAATATATATATATATATATATATATATATATATATATTGTGTTGCCATCCCCTTCACAGCTGTGGGTTCATATATTAAGTGACTAAGATCAGGATAGTCTATTTAAAGATCATATCCTACACTCTCCTTTCAGATTTGTGGATGTGGATGAGCAGTAGGTGGTCTTGTTTGTGAGTCTGTGTGTGCATTATGGTAAATACCACATTATTAAAGGGTTCAACAACAGATGGGAAAACACTTTAAAGCACTAATCCCTCATAATTATAATTATCTCACGTGGGTTATTAGGACTGTTCCAGACCACCCATCTATCCTTATCGGGCTTTGGAAAAGCAGTAGATCATTGCCCTCTAGTGCCGTCTGCTAGAGGATGCCATTATCCTTTGTTCATTTAAAGGGATTGTTCTCCCATTAATGGAAAGTATCATAATTTGCTCACCCTCATGTCTTTCCAAACTTGTATGACTTTTCAATGCGGTACAGAACGAGACTGTAGGCAGAATGTAAATAGGATTTGCAGAAAAATCATAAAAGTATTTTATACTATACTATACTATTTTACACTATTTTTATACTACTCTTGCAATATTGCAAGTGTTTTGAAGCCCTACGATAGCTTTGTGTGATGAATAGACCAAAATTGAAGTAATTTGAAATCTGCTCTACTGTAGCTCTCATATCTCATTCACACTTTCACATATTCAAGTTTTCCACATATTTTTCAACCTGTTGCAATTGGCATTATAGATGTTAATCCTGATGTAATGCATCTTCATGTGCATATTTAAATATGAGTATGAGATTTGAGAGCTGTGATGGAGAGGAAGATTTCCAGTGTTTAAAGACTTGAATCTATGACTTATTCTCGCACAAACTGACTTGTTTTGACAAGAGCAGCGTGAATGTTTTGCCTAGCATCTCCTTTTGCAATCCACAAAAGAAGGAAAGTCATATCGGTTTGGAAAATCATCAGAGTGAGTAAACAAATTCCCATTTTTGGGTCCATTATCCCTTTATTTATGAAAGATGTCACGCTGCGGTTTATGTTTGTCTATCTGTGCTCATGTATGTACTGTACACTACCGTTCAAAGATTTGGGCTTGGTAAGATTTATATTTTTTATATTCATATTATCTCTTCTGCTCACCAAGGCTGCATTTGTATGATCAATAATACAGCAAAAACAGTAATATTGTGATTTATTATTTTAATTTCAAACAACTGTTTTCTATTTGAATATATTTTAAAATGTAATTTATTCCTGTGATGCAAAGCTGAATTTTCAGCATCCTTACTCCAGTCTTCAGTGTCACATGATCCTTCAGAAATCATTCTAATATGCTGATTTTGTGCAATTTCTTATTATTATCAATGTTGAAAACAGTTGTGCTGCTTAATATTTTTGTAGAAGCCATGATACACTTTTTTTCAGGATTCTTTGATGAATAGAAAGTTCAAAAGAACAGCATTTATTTGAAATAGCAATATATTGTGTTTTACCGTCACAATTGATCAATATAATGCATCCTTGCTAAAAAAAAAAAAAGCCTACTGACCCTAAACTTTTGAACAGTAGTGTATGTCTTCTACCTTGTGTTTTTCCTGTACCTGTACTTCCCTCTTCCCTCATCCACGTCTTACCCTTCCCATCAATCTCTGTCTTTCTCTCTCGCTCTCAGTGAGTGTGTCTCGTCCTCGTCACCTGTCTCTTAAGAGATGCTCTCTCTTCTCTCGTTTCCCAGGTAACTGCCGGCATGTCTGGGCTCTCTAACCACTCACTGGGAAGGGTCGGACTGATTAACAGCAATAGTTTTCACAGAAATAACCCTCAAGTGCTATTTAAGGAGCAGCCTTTTGCTCCTTCTCTTACACTAAAGTAGATTAGATATTTGTACACAGGTGTCAATAACGTAACACATTTTAGAATATTTTAACAGAGCTGGAGTTGAAAAATTCCTCTTATGCACCTGCTATCCTCCAGAGTCTTAACAATTAAACACGCTTTAAGAAATATTTCACCAAAAAGTGAAAACTCTGTCAACATTTACTCATCCTCATGTCGTTTCAAACCTGTATGTAAACCTTTTCAGAAAAGCTGCTCTTATGTAAATGTAAAAGTAGACTCTGTCAAGCCACAAAAAGCGCCATAAAAGTAGTCCATATGATGAACATGTACAAACACTAAGTAGATGTAGGAACTGGTGCATTTTCAGCGAATAATAGATTCAATTTGGGTCTATTCCTCACGTAAAGTTATCATATGGCTTCAGAAGATAATGTAATGCACAAGAAATATAGACTGCTGTAATGGTGATTTTGCTTTTTGGGGCTTTACATTCTTCTAAGTGAGCTGCTGTACTGAGAATGTGCCAGTAGGTGGCGAGATCTGAGCAGAGCATGTCTGTCTGATATCCAGCACTTCTGCCTACCTCTATCCTTATCCTTCTGTCAGCTGAGTCTTCACATCTGAATCTATACCATCTTACATTTATACTGTGTAGTGTTGTGTGTTTATATATATATAGCCTCTAAACACACTTACATCACAAAAACCTGACTTTATACACATGAACACTGTTGTTCAAAAGTTTGGGGTTGGTAAGATTTGAATGTTTCTGAAATAAGTCTCTTACTCTTCAAGGCTTTATTTATTTGCAAAGATGCCGTAAAAACAGTAATATTGTGAAATGTTACAATTGTAAATAACTGCTTTCTATTTTATCTTAAAATGTAATTTATTCCTGTGATGGCAAAGCTGAATTTTCAGCAGTTGTTATTACTCTAGTTTTCATTGTTACATTCTTATTCAGAAATCATTCTAATATGCTGATTTCTTATTATTGTCAGTGTGGAAAACAGTTGTGCTTTAATATTTTTTGTGGAAATTATTTTTTTCAGGATTCTTTGATGAATAGAAAGTATATGATGAGTAGAATTTTTTGCAATATTATAAATGTCCTCTTTTGATCAATTCATGCTCGCTGAAATAATAATAATAATAATAATTTATTTCAAAGAAATCTTACTGACTAAACCAAACTTTTAAATGGTAGTTTGTGTTTTGCTACTGCTGCTGATGTTCCTGCATTGTCTCTACATTGTTTTATAATTTTTTTTTTTGTTGATGAATTTAAATAGAATGATAACTGGGGCTGTGAAGCCATAAAAGTGGTCAATATGAATCATATCTTATATTTTATGGGCCCTGTATTCATTTTTGGGTGAACTACACTTTTAACTCTCTTTGAACCTCTCTACTACCATTTAAACTCTTGTAGTGATAAGTGTGTTTGTGTGACATTTGATCTGATGACCATTAATGCACTGCAGATGTTACAGCTCTTGATAGCTTTTTTTATTTTGTATTTTTTGCCTTGGCTGGAAGATATAAAGAGTAAGATAGAGAGAGGAATGTGATCTTGAAACAAACCAGACTCAGATTTGTGTGGTCTTTGACTTAAGAAATGTGTAAAGAATAAATAAGCAGGGAACACATTTTTTTTAACATGGTCAAACTTTGAACTGTTGACCTTTTTCATTTGCCAGTAGGATCTAAATTAGGAAGTTTTAAAAAATGCATCCCAATAGTTTCAGCAGATGAGAACACTGTCATTTTATGAGAGTGCATTTTTGTCTGGATTATACAATTTCTGGAAATGAAAGACATTAATTTTAGTGTACTATTTTGGTCTAGACACTCCATTTAATATGTCACTGTGCCACCTTTTATAATCATTATTATTATTATTATTAAACAATTCTACAGACCTCAACAGTAGGGAAAATAGAAAAAAAAATAGAAAACTAGGAAAATAGAAAAAAAAAAGATTGTATTAATACCATATGAATCTTTCAGGACAGAATTGTTTTTTCGGATGAACTTACCCATACATATCTATGAACTTACCTGCCACAGCATGTTGGCTCACTTGGCTGCATTATTTTATTTTATTTTAATGGCAACTTTACTCATCATATTGCAAAGTACTATTTATTTATTTCTACAATGCCATTTATTTGATCAAAAATAAAATGTAAAAACTGTAATATTGTGAAAGGTTTAAAATAACAGTTTTCTTTTTAAAATAAATTTTTAAATATAATTTATTCCTGTGTAGGCAAAGCTGAATTTACAGCAGCTATTACTCCAGTGCCACATGATCTTTCAATAATAATGCATCCTTGCTAAAAGTATTAATTTCTTAAAGAAAAAATAAAATAAATGGCATTTTGCACAGTGGCTCCTGAAGACATTGTATATCCTGCAGATAAATGTGTCATCATGTACTCACCCTCCTCTCCCACACCTTTTCCATGTGTGTTTTTCAGAATTCCGCTCGCCGTCTCACATTCGCGGGCTCAACCGATCAGCGTCTCTGAGCGACACGGATCGCCCTGAACCTCAGTCCGTCAGCGGCAGCAACACGCAGCTCAGCAGTGCTCCCTTGCCACAGTACACGCCAGACTTCAACGTCCGAGCTCTGGCGGACCTACAGTTTGTGAAGGTAAAGATATGTTTTAGTGATGCACTGAAATATTCTGCCGAAAATTTATTTTCAGTATTTCGCGGGCAGGTGGGGATTATGCAAATGTGTTACCTTGTGACGTATATAGGTAACAGGCAGAAGATTCGAAAATATGACGACCCGTTAAGGCGGTTCAGAGTCGACTCTTTCTTTTGAGAGACAGTATCTTTAGTTATCATGCACTTTTTGATTATCAACTTTGCAGACTGTTTACATTGAAGGATAGCTATGTTACAAACTGCAAAAAATATATTTTTTCGAAAACCCATATGACCTGCTCCTTAAGAAATATGAAGTCCAGACTAGTCTGTATGGGCTGAATAAAGCAAACCAGTATCTCACCAATAAAGTTTAGATGGATGACAATTGTAATGGAGGTAAAGACGATTACAGTGGCATACAGCAATTGTACATTATTAGTTGAGTGCGAGTCCGTTATTATTAATGTGCCAACAAACAGACCGTGTATGTGCGCTCTCTGATAGCTTTTTGCACAAGCACATTTCAGTATGGTCGCATGTCTGGCAAGTGTTTTATAATGGACACTCGCTGAAGAAGCATGTTATTATAGGAGTTTGCAATGGTCAGGGGTGTTTATGTAGACACTCAAACACAGACACGAACATTCACTCTGACAGAGGAACTGACAGCAGCGGTATTAACATTAAGTTACATGGCATCTGATGTATGGAAGCCATTGGCACATGCCACTATGGTCAGTGGCACATCGTTTTTTTTTCAGTTTCTGTCAAGCATATTAATTACATGGCGGAGTTAATTCATTTAACAACTTAGGCTTCTTCATGCGTTTATTATTTGTCTAATGTCCCTTTGTTTGCCTGAACGTTTTGTCAAATACTTGAATTAAAAAAAATTCATATTGTTATAAAATGGTTTCATTTCTTATTGCATAATTCTATAAAATCATTTTTGGAAACAATTAAAGCCAGATATGAGTGATTGCGCTGGCCAATGTTATATTGATACTGCTGCATGCACGCAGGTAGGTGTCAGTACCAAAATCAATTTGCAGTAACTGATGTGACTGTAAATGCGGTATTCGTAGTTATGATAGATTAAAGGGGTCATATGATGTTGCTAAAAAGAACATTATTTTGTGTATTTGGTGTAATGAAATGTGTTTATGCGGTTTAAGGTTCAAAAAACACATTATTTTCCACATACTGTACATTATTGTTTCTCCTCTATGCCCCGCCTCGATTTTTACAAAGCGTGTGTTTCCTAGAATGGACAATTCGCAGTGGTCAGCAACACACAATAGTACTGGTATTACATAACATTGTGGCACATGCCATTCAAATAGCCTACAACATGTTTGGAAAGAAGAATACAGACTTGTAAATGCGTATAATTTACATTTATTTAGAAATCACTAAATTAGTCTATTTATTTAGGTTTTTCTGTCACTATTAGTATAGCTGTACATGTCACTCTCCACTGACACATGTCAGTGAAAACCGGAAGTGTCACCGGATGTGCCACTGAACATAGTGGCATGTGCCAGTGGCCGTACGTCAGATGCCATGTCACTTAATGTTAATACATATAATATAACTACTATATAATAGGCGAAAAACAGTATGTGAGGCGAGTACTAGTATGTCCTAATTCATAGTATTCGGAAAACAGTAGGTGAAAAGTACCCAGATGACCTACTACTTCCACCCGGATTCTTAAGTCCGCATTCGATTGACACTTTACTATCCCACAAGGCCACGGGAGATGATTTATGAATGGCAGTGAAGCAATGCAACTGACGCTGGTAAGTCATGTGACCGTAACAACATGGCGGATGTAGTACGTCCGAATTTCATTAGCTGTTTCTCATTATGCGTTCTTGTCTGTACTTGTGTTCTTGTGGAACGTCATCAGTCGTTGCTCAAGTACTGTTCCAGTTCAGAGTTCACATCTAGCCAAGCACAGTTCAAATCCCCGGATGTGTTCTTGCTCCGCCCCTTTTTATCGAGGATGCATCAAGAGGTGACTTGTGCGAACTTGAGGCAACCAGGTATCCCACAATGCATTTCGCACCAACCAGCGAGCGCTAATGGTGAAGGAGAAAACCTGCATAATTTTCAAAATACTACTGTTACTGTGTCATGAAATGTAGTTTTAAGAGTTTTTTTCAGGCTCGTGCTGTCGAACTGTTGTATAACAACAGCCCAATTTATTGCACTAGAAGCATAATTATATGTCACCCTGGACCACAAAACCAGTCTTAAGTCGCTTGGGTATATTTGTAGCAATAGCCAAAAAAACATTGTATGGATCCAAATTATCGATTTTTCTTTTATGCCAAAAATCATTAGGATATTAAGTAAAGATCATGTTCCATGAAGATATTTTATAAATTTCCTACTGTAAATATATTAAAACTTAATTTTTGATTAGTAATATGCATTGCTAAGAACTTCATTTGGACAACTTTAAAGTGATTTTCTCAATATTTAGATTTTTCCCATATTTGAATCTTAAATAATTTCACCAAACTTTATAAGTTAGGACAGAAATAATTGCAGCTGCTTTAAATAATAACGTGTTTCTCCCATGAGAGAACACTTCATCTTCTCCAGCTAAAGTCTTCATCGTTTCAGATATACTCAGTATTTCAAATATCTTTAGACGTGTTTTCCCCGAACACACACACACACACACACACACACACACACTGACAAACGTCTGCCAGATTCCAGGAGGTCAAAGGCCAACATGTGCGGCCTATGAAGTGCACTCACTGACCAGCATCATGTGTAACACAATCTGCTGCACATCAGAAACGGTTTCACACAAGCAGACAGAATGACTGATGACTTCAGAAACTGATGTGTGCTTGCTTTTCTGCATGTGCTACACAAGTGTTTTCCATCTCTGCATTTAGAATATTTTGATAAACTAGCATGCATTTATGTATATGTATTTCCGTGTTGATGCAAACGCCGGTCAGACCATCAGTGCAGGTAAAGTGTGTCTGATATTTCGTCACATGTCGGTTGCCATGGGAGATAAAGTCCCGTCTGTCTCTCCAGCAAATCAGCGTTTTCATTTTCAGAGGAAATGAGCAGCTTTATTATGTGCTGCTTATGCAATCAAACTGTGTGTGTGTGTGTGTGTGTGTGTGAGAGAGTGTGTGTGTGTGTGTGTGTG